TTCAGCAACATTAGGTGAGTTGCCCAAAGCCACACAGATAGTGAGTGAGAGACTGGAAACCAGGTCTTCTGACTTGCCCTCCCACGACCCACTTACAATGAACAAGAGAAGATCTAGAACCTGTTTTTTGAACTTCCTTTAACTCCTGAGCATTTCCTAATTTGTATCATTTACAAGATCGGTGGTTCAAACCCACCAGTTGCTCCTCTGAAAGTCTATCCAGGGTTGTTATGAGTCAGAACTGATTCGACAGCCCACAACAACAAGAGCAACAATGGTTCATAAAGAGCCTGTGCACGTGTACTCTTTCCCAGGAATGGTAAGAGTGGGCAGATGTTCCACACATACATTCATTCATTGCCAGTCACAAAATTTGGCTTGGCGTGAAAACGTTAAGAAAAAGTGAAGGACTTAACGAGATTCAGGATTCCACATAATTTTTGCACTCGAAATGTCATTCAAGGATGGCATCAGTAGGAGTCTGGGGTTGTTGTTAAGTGTCATCGAGTCGATTCTGACCCATAGTGACCCTGTATCGGGTTGCCAAGGAGCAGCTGGTGAGCTTGAACCACCGACCTGACCTTGCAACTGAAATGACTTTGCAGTCTGATGCATTAGCCCACAGCGCCACACCAGGCCTCCAGGAATCTGGGGTAGGTAGGATGGAATTAAGCCAAGTGAAAATGTGATGATGTTGGAAGAACAATCAAACGTCACCATGACCCATTATGAGAAGAAGACATTGAGTCATGAGCTTGCTGGAGGACACCTTCCAAAATGGAAATCTCTCAAACTTCAGCAAAGAACTGTGGACAACACCAAAATACACTGGGCAATGTCGAAGTGGCTTTCGAAAGATTCAAATGCCAGTCTTCAGAACTTGCCCTCCATTGGGAAAGCAGTAGCCAAGAAAGGAAAGACAAACTCAAAACATGAAACATGGCGGAGTACCTCAGACAGACCGGGTGCTATGTACCATGCCAAGGACATGAAGACAACAATGACGTGGGTCCCTGCTCTCTTCTTGGGCGATGGCTATCTATTTTGCTGCTGGGATTCCTGAGACAGATCTTGTCTCTCGAGCACATGTCAAAACCAAGGGGAGGAAAGTGTTCCCATAAGCAACAGTGAGGGCCTGCTGAGCACTTGGAATGCTGCTAAGGGCACACAAATGTGGCCAGCGAAGGGAAGGGATTCGCCCACTATATAAGCACAAGCCACCTGCCCAGCCCTCCATCTGACATCTCAGCAGTTTCAGACTCCTACATGAGCCAAGGAAGACACGTGGTTTGTGTGGAGTTGGGAAGCTAAACTTTAGTTGGTTTCCTTTTCGTCTTTCCTTAGAAGCCACTAGATCGCCCCACCTTCTATTCCACCCCGATTTCCACATACGGACACTGCCCTCCCACATAAATGAACACACAATGATCAAATCCAACCAAGTGTAGCATGTCCAAATATCAGAAGACACAAGTGGGTGCAAAGAGGTGGGTGGGTGGGGAGTCAGGGGTGTCCCAATTAGCTGGGGTCCCAGCAGAGTCAGTTTGAACCACAAAGTCGGTGGTTCAAACTCACCAGCCGCTCCTTGGAAACCCTATTTAGGGTAGCTGTGCGTCGGAACCAGCTAGAAGCCATTTACCAACAACAACAGCGACACTGAAGACCAACCCTGCAGCTTGGATGGAGCCTGCTCCCAGCCTGTTCTCACTCCCACCGATTCCCAGTCTTGAGAAAAGCCCTCCAGGTTCTCCGCTGCTGCACGTGACAAGGATGCGTGTGGTTGGGCGGGGAGGGTAAGAAAGATGCTTCTCGTAGCCTCTCATCAAAGCCTCTGCCACGCACAAGGACGCCTGAATTTATGGAAAGCTCTGCTTTTTCAGCCCTTTCCCAGTCACTTCCACATTAATTAGTAAGGGTATCATTTTATAAATTACAGCTTCGCACCAGAGGAAAGCAGAGTTTATCTTAATTCAGTCAGCTGTGTGAAATACAGTAGCCTAATTTTAGACCGCCGGCTCTGCGGATCCCTCTGGAATCGGGGAATGACAGGTCTACTGGAGACAAGTCCCAGGGGGCCCCCCCACATGTCTCACTTCTGCCTGCAACTGCATCCCTGGTGGGGCTTGCTAGAGGGGTCCCAGGACACTGAGCGGCATCTTTTCTTCCATTAGCAATTCAGATTTGAATGTGACTCCTCTGAGCAGCCCAGAAAGTTGCCCGCCCAGGGCTCTGAGGGGCACAGAGGAGGTTGCCAGGGGCCTGGGTTCCCGTGTGGAGCTGAAGTCTGGAGGAGAGGGGGTGCTAGGGTCACTGATACATAGGAGACCATTCCAGACCAAATGGGGCAGGCTGACAGTCTGCACTAAACCAGGGCTAGGCAGGCAACCATAGCCTTGACTTCTCCTGGGGATGCCCAGAAGACAGGCCTGTGGCGGGACAGGGACAGGTGACGGAGGTCTGCTACACTCCCAGGCAGGAGGACACCTGAAAGCGAGACTCCTGAGGCCCCTCCCTTCCCACCATGCCCATCCTCTTAGCCTTGGCTAGAGCAACCCATTTCTTTTCCTGCAGGAGTCCTGGTGTGGTGCTGTGGGCTAATGTGCTAGACTGCAAAGTCTCTCTGAAATATAAGGTTGGTGGTTCAAGCTCACCAGCTGCTCCTCGGAAACCATATATAAGGTCGCTATGGGTCAGAACTGACTCGATGGCAGTTAACAACAGAACAACAACAACGAGCCCGGGGGTAAGGTGGACTAAGTATTGGGTTGCTAATTGCAAGGTTGGAGGTTCAAACCCACCGACTGCTTCTCAGGAGAAAGATGAAGCTGTGTGTGCCAGCCAAGATCTATAGTCTCAGGACCCCTGAGGTGCAGTTCTACTCTGTCCTGTAGGGCAGCTGTAAGTGGGGTTGCCATGAGAGCATGGCATTTTCTTTCTTTATTGTCCTGCAGTCATCGTGACCTCTGAATGATGGATCTGGCCACCTACCCACCACCCAGTTCTCTACTCGGGCAACAGGGGTTCAGGTGTTCAGAACTGAACAAAAGACTAGAGGGTGCTCTCTGCGGCAGGGAGTTCCTCTCAAGGTCCTGCTGACAAGCACAGAAGGTACTTTTGGAAGACACTAGCATTAGGTCACCACTGAGAGCAGGGATTCCGGGTGTCCTGGAGGTGTGGCCCCCAGGGGACTCAAAGGCACAGCCAAGGCTAAGATCACTGATGACGATACACGGGATGCAACATGGTTCACTCTTTCCACCATCTGCCTCCCACTCGGGCATCGCGACCCTCTGGGCTGCCTCCTGCCTCTCAAACAAAGAATGTCTGCTCCGCTGTGGAATCCTACCTAAGGCGCCACCATCTTGTAAAATAACAGGAACCATCGCCCGTAGGAGACACTTGTGAGAAGTCAGAAAGGACCCATCCCTCCCACAGCCCCCGGCGATGCCTTTTGGAACGATATGACGGTGGCCGTGTGAACAGGTAGAACGCTGAACCCTGACTGCTGTCCCACTAACCGAGAGACCAGGGTTCTACTTCCAAGGAGCTGGGATTCGCGGCGGGGGGCTGTCAGTTAGACAAAAGAATCCCCCAGAAACCCCTTCCCAGTGTGTTCTTGCCTTGTCACCAGGCAGCTCATTACTATGTCACAGCACTGCGCTCCCTCGCATAGGTCACTTTGTTTAAAATGACATGGGTAATGCACATGTCAGCAGGCTGACAGTCCTGGGTGTCCTTCAGAGATAAAAACCTCAAGGCGAGAACTTGCTCTTATCTAGGGGACGAGCCTGGGTCTCTCCACGTCAGCCAGAACAGGGTTTCTCCCGAGAGCACTTTTTTCATTTCCTGATTTTAAGGAAATCAAATAAGCACTATTTTTATTTGTCTTCATCTGAATATGCTTGACCTGCTCAAACGATGATGTCTCGCATTTGATAACAGCCTTCATGTGCTGAATTCAAATTAACGACCGGACAGAACAAGAGGCTTTCGGTCTCTCTTCGAGGAGGCTGGTGGCAGAGAAGGACGGGGAATGCTACGCTTCATGGAAAGAACCCAACAAAGTCTTAACTGCAGGAGGCTGAGTCAAACTTGTCAGCATGGAGGAGGGGAAGGTGCCAGAATGGGGCTCAGCAGACATGGGGATGTGGGGCCCATGGAGAAATGGGGAGGAAGGATTCGTTCGTCCTGCGGGTGCCACATGGTATGGGAACCGTGATATTCAGGTAAGCAATGCATAAAGCAACAGCAAACATGAGAGGACATTTGGTTGGGAGACTGAGCCAGCTAGGAAAAAAGAGCACCCAGATATATAACCGTTGTCTTTTGTTGAGGCAGCAGAAAGCACACTTTACCAGGTTGTGGTCCAATCTTCTGGTGGCTCGGAAACCAAGCTCTCTTTCGCGTTCGATCCACAGTGAACTGGACAAACAGAGGCCAGTGACCACGAGCCCCCAAACTGTATGTACCTGCTGGAAGAACTGCCCTCCCACCTGGCCATTTATCTGAACGAGAACCATTAGTTCCCAGGTGATCTCCCCCTCCCAACACCCCGCTAGCTCCAAGATGAGAGTCTTAGTAACAAACATACAGAAAACATCAACATTTCTATCAAGTAGGCCGGTATGTCCAGAGAAGCAGAAACACGGGGGTCAGCAAAGTAAACGTGGACATCACAGGATAAATACATACTGGTAAATTCATCATGCATTAAGAAAAAAATAAAACAAAATGAAATACCCAAGGTGGCTATTAAAATAAATAATCTCCTCTCTTAAAGAATTTCAGAGTTTATGAGTCATCATTCATAAAGTGAAAATTCAGTGCCTCATATAATATGCAATATGAGAGGGTTTGTTTACAAAGAGTGGACCTCACAAATTAGATGTGCTCTTTCTGATCACAGGAAATCTCGTTGTGTGAACGAGGCCCGTTTCTACAGAGGAGGAGAGAGGCTGTGTGTTTACAGTGTGTCATGGACGGTGTCCATGTGACCTTACCTTCTCTTCCTGGTCGCTGTCACTGTCACACTGAAAAGGAAAACAAGAAAGGGTTAGTTTAAGCACTGAGTATGGTTTAGCTTTTCACCAAAACAACAACAAACAGGCCAAGTGAAGAAACTAGGAAACATGAATTGAGCTGGAAAGGTTTTCATTGGCTCAAATGCTGGTACACATGTGCTGGTATCGCTGGTGAAGGACCTAGAAGTCGCTGTTTGATTACGTCTGATGTCTGAGCTGTGTGTGACTCTGCCCTGTGGTCAAACCAGCAAGGTCGCAAGTGACCTCCTCCTACTGCATGGAAATGGGCCGCCCATCTAGGTGCCAACCCTGCCGCAGGATTATGGTGAGTCAAGACCATTCAAAGCAATTCAGATCACAACTAGTTTCTTCACTGAGACATTCAATCTTCAGGAAGAACAGATACGTCTCTTAAAGGAAAAGAACTTCACCCTTGGGCATTACATACTCTCATTTGGACTTAGCAGGGAACAGATCAGAGTGGGCAAGGTTTACCACTTAGAACGGATGCCTTTTCCAGGGCTTAGGGGCCCAGAGAAAAGAAGGAACATTCCTTAAAAGAGGTCAGGGTAATTAGCCAACAATATGAGGAGAAAAAATATGTTTTAGGGCGGTAGACTCAAACCATTATCTAACAGATCCCAAACTCCAACTGTTGACCTGGGCTTGGGACACTCATGGAATGTTAATTCACTCAAAGCTTTAGGGTTCTCATTCAAAGTAGAGAAGAAGAAGAAAAAAGGATACAGATGTCTTTAAAACCCACTTCAAGAGTGTTTTGTCTTCCAAGTTTGGATTAAAAATAAATGTTACCAGGATCTGTTTTTGAGACAGAAAATGTTTAGCAAGTAAAGACGACAAGTAGAAACCAGCATTGCTAGCTAAGCTCGGTGGTGTTCACCCCGGACATGGTTGTTCCCTAAAACCACTATCGGTTTAGCAGATAAACTGGGGTACAACCACCGAGTGGTGCATTAGCATGGCCTGAGCTGTATCTTGCGCTGATGGCTCTTCCTGTGGGGAAGGGACAGGTCACAGGGAGGCCAGTCTGGCAACGATGACACTGCTAAGCAGGATGAGGTTGTGGTTTGGGGAAGGGTTGAGATGGTAGAGTAATTGTGAAGGTAGGACCAACAGGACACGAAAACACAAGGGCATGGGAGCAAGGAAGAGGGCTGGATCTAACATGATATCATGCTGGACATGGGAGTTTATGTGGGTCTGAACAGAAACAGGAAATTAATTTGCTTATAGAGCAGCCACTGCTGGTTACATACCCACAGTCATTCACAGACTACTTCTCCTGACACTGTGAGGGTGACAAAGACAGACAGTCTTTTTCTTAACTTCTCTTGCAACTACTGGTGGCCATGAGGCCCAGTGTTGACCATTCAGACTTGAGGAAATGTCTGCTGAGGGTCTGGGAAATTTTTCTCTCTTTGATAAAAGGGGAAAAGCAGGCAGGCACACCTTGCTTCTTGTCTTTAAACATGATGTGCAAGGATGTGATGTCTGGATCGCTGGCAGCCATCTTGTAAAGATGAGGCAAAAAGTCTAAGTCCAGAAACAAGATAATGGAGGGTAGGGAAAAATAAAGTCGCTTAACTCAGTCATTCAGTCAACTTCAGAGCAGCGTGTCTCTGGAGTTTTTTTTTTGGGGGGGGTGGGGGCAGGGGGAGGAAGCTCTCATTGAAGTCACCATTAACATACTTTCCATGGAAAGTTAACAAATCCTCACCTCAATGGATATCCTGTATAAGGCACAATTTGGAGCTCTGGTAGCGTAGTGGTTACTAATCAGGCTGTGAACCTTAACGTCAGCGGTTCGAAACTACCAGCCGCTCCGCGGGAGAAAGATGAGGCTTTCTACTCCCGTAAAGATTTACACCCTCGGAAACCCTGTACAGGGTCGCTATGGGTCGGAACCGACTCAACGGCACTTAACAACAACAACAGCCTCTTTCCTGACTAAGCAGTTGACATTATAAACATTAAGTAATTTGTACTACAAACCTATATATTGTTGTTACATTTTCCACGTCTCCCCCGTGCCCCCCCAGTGTCACAGACTCATTGATATTTAGTGACATTAAATTTATTCAAGTACAACTGTCTCATTTTCAACCAAGCGTCCAACCTCAGACTGTGTCTATGTTGACATTTTCTCATTGTTCTTGGCCTGAGGAGTGGTTTCTCACTGATAGGAAGTCAGATGGTTCTGAAAGCACATGTGTGAGGTGAACACTCAGAAGGTCCAGGAGAGCCGGTTGGAGGAGGCCCAGCATCCCGCTCCTGGGGTGAGTTTCCCGTTGTCTCTCTTAGTCCTCCTGGAGGCTCCTAAGTTCTGGGCACATTTTCAAGAGTGACAGAGCTCCATTCAGGAGGAGGTTGGGCCAGGCAGGCTCATTTCCCCAGATGTTCCCAGCTCACCTTATGAGGGAATCTGGGACAGCCGAAGGCTGTGGAGCATCATTGGCCCCATCCCCACGGATGTGGTGTGCAGGAGTGAGACAGAGTGGGGAAGGTGGGTAAAGACCACCCCCACCACACACACACACCCTGGCCAAGTCCTACCAGCAGTATGCCCCACTATAGTTATTTCTATCAGCGTGTTAAGTGTCCTGCTTTCAACAGTCCACTTCTAATTTCAAGGTCCACTTAATTCTGCATCAAGTAATTACTGATATACCCGGGAGCACCTTGTCTCCAGAGTTCAGCATATGGTGAAGAACTGAGACCTACTGGTATCCATTATGGAAGTAGTACGGATGCCAAGCCGATTAAAACTCCTCAGCCTCCCCACACAACACGCGGGTGACTGACAGCTCAGAGACACGGACAGTCTGCCAAAACAGTCTCGGCTGCGCTGGGGCCCACATGGTGCGTGAGAAAACAGTTCCATTTCTGGTATTAAATTCCCATACTGACCCGAGGACTTTGCTGGGAGCTCTGCAGGAGCACACCATCCAATTTACAGCTCCGCACTATGAAGCCTCTAGTGCCAGCCCCTGGCAGAGACGCATGATGGTCAGCCCCTCCAGCTCATAAATTATGCAGAGGCAATAAATGCACTCAGCAAACAGCGCCTAGCGTTTGCCGAGCCTGGCTCCTAACATACTCTGTAAAAAGCCAAAAGTGAGACACATACAAGAGGTCTATTCCGCTCATAAAGGGGGTTTGTTGAGTACCCCAGACAGAAAGAGAGCCGTCGCAGCCCGAAGGAGTCTCTGCTTCGCTGGCAGCGGTTTATGGGCCTGCCTAATGAAAAAGGGAGGCTGTTTTATAGAGTCGGTGTGGGGTAGATTCATAGCCTCAAATGCACATTTAATACACTGTACGGCTTTCATATCCTGCCTTCAAGCCGGTATGCAATTTTGACCAAGTGATTCTTGGTCCTTGAAGGTTGAAGGAAGAGTCTGCTCCCCAGTGCCCAGATATCCACTTCAATTTATAGGAGTTCACAGTGAACCACCCCTGGGTTCATGTGTATGTGAGGCTGGGCAGAGGGAAAGGAGTAGCAAATGCAGGAGCGGGGTCCCAGCTGATTCTACCATTTTAAGCATTTTGACATTGGGGTTCCACTTCTGTTTATTAGGAAACAGATTGTACACTAACTGCAGGCCTGAGGTGACAGAGGACTCTCCATGACAAGATTTCCAAGCTTTCTGTGAGAAGCCCAACACTGTCCTCCATTTTATCAGCAAGAAAGGAAAAGGTGCAATTAGCCTTCTCCTGGAGACAGAGGCAGATTCTTGGCACTCACCCCTCAGACAAAGATGCTGCCCAAGCCTACGGTAAACAAAAAACAAGAGATCGCCCCGCTGCCAAAGAGTCAATTCTGAGGCTATAAACCTTTATGGGAACAGAAATCTTTATCTTTCTCCTGAGGAGCCACTGGTGGGTTTGAACTGCTGACCAGTTGGTTAGTAATCCAGTGCTTACCTCACAGCGACACTAGGGCTCCTTAAAGGGGAAAATGTTATTGTTTGTTGTTATGTGCTGTTGAGTCTTTCCGACTTGTAGTGACCCTAGTTTTTCTGAGAAGTGACTGGTGGGTTTGAACTTCCAACTTTGTGATTAACAGTGCAGGGTTTATCCTACAGTGTCACACCAAGCTTCTAAAGGGGGAGACTGTTGTTGTTAAATGAAATCAAGCCATGTGTGTTGTCAAATGCAAAATTAGAAAGGGACTACTTCATAACTCAAGTCTGTGCCAACTTTTCCCATACAGCTATAACTTAACTTCATTTTCATCTTCTTCTCTTTGACTTCACCTTCCTTTCTCTTATCCAGGCAAGCCTCATCCCTTAAAATTGTCAAAAAAAAAATCCAACGTACCCACCCATTATTTTACCTCTGCAAAACTCATATGTGTATAACAGTGAACATATTTTAAAAATTATCAATAATCAGGTAGAGACTGTTAACACATTTATATAATTATCCCCAGCCTTTTTTTTTTTTTTTCTAATAAAGCATATACAACCCTCCCCACCCTTCATACACATTTTAAGAAATAAAAAATGAAACCCTACTGTGTTTGGTTATGCACTTTCTTAAAAGAAGACAAAAACAAACCAACTCAATAGATATTTTCATTGAATCGATGAACTTTGTCCTGTTACATCGCTTTAACAAATGGGTGCACTGCAACCCTCTGTTGTTGTTGTTGTTATGTGCCATCGAGTCGGTTCTGACCCATAGCGACCCTGTACAGGGTTTCCAAGGCTGTAAATCTTTATGGGAGCAGAAAGCCTCATCTTTCTCCCGCGGAGCAGCTGGTAGTTTCGAAATGCTGGCCTTAAGGTTCACAGCCCGATTCGTAACCATTACGCTACCAGAGCTCCTTGTAACCCACTGTAGAGAATGGAATATAATCGAATGAAAACAACAGTCCCTAGCGCTGAATATTTAGAAGACTTCCAGTTGAGTCTCCTGGAATCTTTCCCTTTGCACACATTCACTGATACTGCTCTTTCCTGATATCTTTTAATGGTCCCTCCCTTTCT